GTAGATTCTTTAGGTCTTTAAGTGATATGTCTAACTTGCACGATCATGTATACACATAAGATGTGATCCGGGACTTGATCAAAGAGTCTTCAATACTCCTACAACATCTCAAGTAATTGTTGTATGGGTCGAAGATGATGAAAATGCCAATGTTCATGTTCGTGACATTACTATATATGGCCATTCTGGTGATTCATATAGAGTTCATTATTATTATGGTTGTTATGATCCTTTACTTTTTCCATATGAGGAATCTGGTTGGCATGAAGGCATTCGAAGATGTAGAAGCATGTACTTTGAGCCTGAATTCGTTGAATTTCCAAGCACAGTTACCTCTGCAGCTGAATTTATCGAAAAAGAAAATCAAGGTTTGCAAATATACCTTCTTATACATTCTTCTAACTTTTACAATTTGGATGTCTTAAATGAATGCCCATTTTTGTTTTCCTTTTTGCCATGCAGTGCTTAACGAAACAAAGAAACGGTCTCACGTTTCCCGTCGAGAATATTATTTATGAAAATTGCAAATTAGGCCTTTTGGTAAGTCTATTTTGCTTCACGCTGGTAGATTGTTTCAACAGTACGTTGTAGGTATGTATATTAAGATTGAAACTGTAAGGTTAGACTATTTTTGTAACAACCAAAAGCAAATTCGTGCTGAACTTTACCAAGGTATTGTAGGCAGCGTTGAAAATGGAGAAACAAGGGATTACAAAATTGGACGAAAATTTGTTTTGCCACAATTCTTTACATGTGGGCCTAGAGATATACTAAGGAGATACATGGATGCAATGTCAATTGTACAACGTTATGGAAAACCAGATATATTCTTGATTATGACATGTAATCCAAATTGGCTAGAGATTAGGCAAGAATTAAAACACAATGATGAGATTCAAAATCGTCCGGATCTAATTGCACATATATTTAGAGCAAAATTAGAAGAATTGAAAAATGATTTATTCAAGGAAAATATCTTTGGTCTTGTTGTTGCACACATATATGTGATTGAATTTCAAAAAAGAGGGTTCCCTCATGCACATCTGTTGTTGATTTTTAACTATAGGCACAAAATTTCTTCTGTTGCACATGTTGATAAGATAGTATCTTACGAAATTCCTGATGAAAACAAATATCCTCATCTTTATTTTGTTATTGTCAAACATAATATGCATAGCCCTTGTGGAGATCTTAATCCAAAAAAATGTATGCATGGAAGCGAATAAATGTTGCAAAAATCAATACTCTAAGGATTATTGTAATACTACTATCTTTAGTGATAACTCATATCCATTGTATAAACGTTGTGATAATGGTGTTTCTATAAAAGTTAGAGGTCAAATGTTAGACAACCGATGGGTTGTACCGTATAATCCTTATTTAAGTGCAAAATTTGATTGTCACATTAATGTTGAAGTATGTTTTTCTATTAAAACTGTAAAATACTTTTGGTTGGCGCAAACAAAAGAGA